CTTTATTTGATTGGACCTTGTCAACTCGACCAAGCTATTGATCGAGGATCGGGTTTCTTGTAGGTTTTGTGCATTTGTATATGAATTTTCTTGATTTTAGGCATTGAAGGCCTAAAATGATTGTATAAAATAAATATTTCGATCAAATCCATGACCACATATTTATCCGAGAGTTTGAAACCTGTCTACTCCTATTTGCATGCTTAGGAGGATCGGGTTTCGTAGGCTTCGTGCCTTTTGAGAATGAATTCTTATTGTTATAGGTCTTGAAGGCCTAATATGGATGTTTTGAGACAAATATAACGATTGCCACAACCGTATATTTGTTTGTTGGTTCGAAGCCTGTCGACTTCTGTTGACCCGTATAGAAGGATCGGTTTCGAACCTGAATTCACTTATTAACCCGCGCAGCATCCCTAGACGTCACGTGTGTACCAATAACACGCTTGCCAGGGCCCATGCGGGTATTTGAATACATTTACCCCTTTTTAGTGTGCCTATGTGTATACAAACTATTGTGTATGTGCAGGGGTATTCTTGGAATAGACGCCTTATGTCTGCTTGTACGAATGTTGCAGATCCGGTGGCATGGCTTTGTAGATTGTAGACGCCTTCTGTCTGCTTGTATATGTGTTGCAGATCAGGTGGCGTGGCGTTTTGATGTTGACTCCCCCCTTTCTCAATCACCGGGGGAGGACTTTCTGGATTCTGGAGTTAATGACTGCTGGTTTGGAAAGAACTCCTTTCAGGATCTTTGGTGTAGTGGACTTGCTATTTCCGGTGTTTGTGGGCACCCGAACTGTTCTCTTCTTAATTATAGAGCCAAAAAGAAACTTTTGAAACATCAGGAAGTTTAGTTCTAGTTTGTTCAAACATTTCCTCCCTTCTGCCAGGGAGTGTCCTTTTTCGTACATCGGGCTGCCTTTGTACCCGGTGTACTGACAGCACTTTGATCACCACTGTCGTAGGTGATATTCATACTTGTGTCCACAGTGATTCATTGTTTTTTCAATACACTGTTGTTATCCACAAGTATACATTTGTAGAGGACCGCTGTATCCACTACGACCTCCTGAAAATATTTGTAGAAGACCCATTGCTTCTGCATTATATCCACCCTTTCACCAATCTCGGGTGGGTTTTTTGTTTATTTGCACTTGTTGGTAGGAATGGGTCCTTGGTTGCCGATCTCCAGTATTGCCATCTCAGTCAACAGACATTCGTAGAGATTGTTGTAGGAGATACTTGTACTCGTCGTATATCAAATCTCCTATGTTTGTAGAAGACATACATTTATTTTCCACTGTACTTGGTAAACTCTTTACATTCTCCTTGCAAATTACATGTTGTGTGCATAGTGGGCCCCCCCTATTGACCTCCAATGTCGCCTTCTTCAATCAATAGGTGTTGTGGGGATTGTTTGTAGGAGTTCGTGCCATAGCTTACAAACATAAATTATTGCTTCTCTTCCTTTTACAAGTAGATTATACTTGGAACTCATTTGTCTTCTTGAATTCGGGTCCGAACCAAGTTTCATTTAGACTCGGGTTCATCGAGTCCACAACCCCCACTTAATGTTGTGTAGCGCAGGTTTAAATGTTCTGTTCGGATTCGGATCCAGTCCAAATCAATGTCTTTGTTTGATGTTATAGTCTTGTTCTAGGAGGAAACGACTGAAATTCATCTCCCTGACTGGCTGTCCAGATTTATGGACAGAGGCTATTTGCTGTCTTGAAATTTTGGATGTATCCTGTACGCTGTCCAGGGATCTCCAGCCTTACAAGTTGCTATCCAAGATTCCTAAGACCTAAAACCTGCTATCCAGACTTCCTCGGGTTCCGTCCAGACCTCACGAGTTGTTGTTCAAGACTCCTAGGACTCGAAACCTGCTGCTCTAGGTTGCTGTCCAGAATTATTTGAAGTGCCGAATTGCTGTCCCGACCCTCATTGCCGCTGTCTCGGCGTCCCTAGCTGTTGTCCAGTCATTTTTGATGAACTCCTATGGCTGTCTCGCTGTCTCGAAGGTTCACCATTGTCATCCTGAAGGCTCCCAAACCTGAAGTTGTTGTCCACCCTTCCTCAAACGCATAAGCGACTATACCGGAGCGCCAGAGTTGTCGTTCCCTTGGTAACTTTTCTTCTTAATCTCATATCTTCTTAATTCACCTTCCAACTGTGGTTATAGTTTAATTCACAACGAGTCTTGTTGATCTCTCCGCTAAAGCATAGTAATTTAGGTAGTTGTGTGAGGAATGGATTCATCACAGTACTAATCTTATTGTTAACATTGAGATTTATTGTTGAAAACCATTCATGTATGCAACGTTAGATTAAATTGATTGTCTTACGATCTTAACTCCTATGCATGTAATTTTGGCCTAAGCTTGTTTTATCGCCTTATTATTTTATCTTAGTGTTTAAATCGGCATAAGTTTTATTTAATATTATTCTTGAAATGATAAATGTGCAAATTTCATTAAATAACTCATTTTTGCATGTTCGTTTTACATCATCTTGGTATCAGAGCATGGTAGGCATAGGTTACATATGCTAGAAAACATCATAGGAGTCTACCTAACCAACCATGTGCTTGTTTGCATGCATACCATCTTTTAATTAACTTTAGTTCACTGTTTTCCCTACTTCCCAGTAATTTCTTGCACCGTTTTCTTCATTTTAAGTAATTCTACTTCAGTGTTTAAGTGTTACCCTTATCACAGCAACATCCCTACTTGCTTAGATTGCTTAAACAAATATTATAGGTTGCTGTCCACGT